ACACACACACACACACACACACACACACACACACACACTCTTAGCAGGTCCTAGGAGGGATTTCATCTGTTTGTGATGGAAAAGATGTTTGGTTTTTACTTTTCATGTTGAAACACGGTTTGATTGAAACTAATCCAACAGAAAAATCAAACAGGAAATGTTTTATAACAAATCAAATATTGTCACTTGTTTTAAAAGTCAATAAACATGACAATAAAATCACCCGAGTCTCTGCTTCTTTTGCTTTTAGACTTCCAAAACAGACCAACTTTATCTTTGAAACTGGTCTAAAGAAGTTGAGAAGGTCCCGTCCAGAGGACCTCCTGAACTTTTTTTTGTTTTAGACGTTTTTTTCCTGGACTACAGAGAAGCATCAGGACACTTTGAAAAACTGGTGTTGGTCCAAAGTTCTCAGAGATTTCAGATCTTAAATAAAACAAAAATCAGTCTGTCGAACTCACAGCAGTTCATCAGAGCCAGAAACTGTCCACACAACTCTCTGGATGCTGCTAACAAACAATGACAACAACACAACAAAATACTGGAGAGTTTTTCCAGCCACATCTCTGACAGCACATGTTGATTACAGGACGTTTTGGAGGATTTGTTGCTACAGATTTACGACCACAGAGAGTGAAGGCTTTGGTCACATGATCCAAACCTCAGAACCGTGGGAGGACAAACAGTTCGGCTCTGCTTCATCAACAAATAGGAGCCAGATGTGGAAATAAAGGGGAGTTCAGTTCAGACCACGCCCACATTCTAACGCATAACTGCTTTTCATTAAGAATGGACAATAAAACCCTCCTTAAAGGAGACGCACGGAGGAGACCTGCAGGAGGAGCAGGTATAAGACCTCCAGGTGTCTGCAGGATGCCCAGGTGCAGCTGGTAGTTAGGTCTTGATGGACGGACACTGGACTGTGTTTCTGTCTGCAGTTCAGAGACAGAAGAGGCCGAACAAAGACAAACTAAACCTGTTTTCATTTTCATACAAATATTTAGTTTCTTCAAAGTTTAACATAAAAATGATGTCATAGATAATAGATAAATAATACCTTAAACTTCAGGTTAGTTGACTGACAGGGTTAAAGGTCACCAGCAGATACAGCTCATTGTCCAGCAGAGGGCYACAAACATTAACAGCTTTAATTCATGAATGTTGTTGTATTTATACATTTTAAAGGCAGATATTTCTACCTAATAAACCTGTTAATATCAGGAGGAAATGGTTTGATTTAAACACTGATTCTGCTGCTTCTTTAACTGTTGTTCAGACAAGCTTTCAGCTGAATGTATTAAAGTTTTATTAGTCATATCAACTTGATTTATTGTGTTTTTTATGGCTTATTGTGTTGCATTGTTTTATCTCTGCTCCTTGTGAAGTACTCTGTGATGTTTATGTGTGAAAGGTGCTGCACAGATAAAACTTACTGAGTGTTTTCTGTTTGTATATTTAAACAGCTTCATGCTCGATCTGCTGCTTCGTCTGCAGAAAAAACAACTTGTTTCCTTTTGTCTGGAGTTTTTCTGTTGAAACTGACCTTTAGACTAAAACCGTTTTGTTTGTGCAACATCCGTTTTCTGCTCTGAGATCTTAAAGATGTTTCAGATCAAACGTTTATTCCACAGATTTTTGTTTTGTTTCAGTGAATCCATCAAAATGAGAACATTTTAATGTKCATGTCTAACCAGTAATTAAGGCACATTTTGTCCCAGTTGTAGCTGCGCTGTGATTGGGTCAGAACCAGGAATGTGGAAGTATTCACCAGGTTCCTGCTGAGCAGCAGGTCTCATGTCTGAACCTGCAGAACAAACGGACCGACAGAGCTGCTGACAGTTTCTGACTCYACCTGTGTGTCTCATTCACTGTCAGCAGGACGTCCCTCTGTGGGACAGGAGGCTCTGACGAGGTTCTGATCCGATCAGGAAAGGCTCGACACAAAGACGGGCGGTGAAAAGTTTTAATATCACAACTTTTACGAAARAACAAACAAACAAACAAGAAGTTAAACTTTCTCATCAGGTCCAAACTGAGTCTGCTGAAGCTTTGCTGAAACAGAGTTCACTTGTTTTAGGCTCTAACTGTTCACAGTAAACAACAACAACAACAACAACAACAACAACAACAACAACAACAACAACAACAAGTTTATACTGAAACCATGTGAAACAGTAAATCTGCTTCTCAAAGTAAAATATTTATATATATTTATAATAAACTGTACTCTCACCAGCCCCCGGTCCCCTGGGTGGGGTTGGTGGTTCTCAGATGTCTGATGTTTCACCAGGCGTCTGTTGGAGCCACTTCTGCAGGTGGGAGGGTCACTGCCCCGATGACCACGCCCACCACAGCTGTCTTCACCTGTCAGGCTGCTTCCAGCTCTTCACTGGTATTTATCCAGATTCTCCTGTTCCTCTTTCCAGATGTTTCATCACAACAGCTGTCCACGATCACGATGTCTGGTTGGTTGGTCATCACCATCGTGTCTTTGAACCTGGAAGTCCCACTGGATCTTAGCTGGCTCATTCTCCACCACGTTGGGAGGTGGTCCCGTTTGACCTCGGTGTCTCCAGTCCGTCCTCCTCAGAMGTTTCTACACCAGACACTTGGTTATCCAGGTTCTTCTTTCCTGCTGGTATCTCACATCCTGCTGTGAGATGCCTCAGTACTAGGGAAGCACCGATGTGAAAAGTTAAGCCGATATCGATATCCGATATAATTATTGCTGTTATGGCCGATAACTGATATTTACCAATTTTACATACAAATTATATTATACATATACACACAAACACATGGGTCTTTTTTATACCGTAAATAAACAACCAGACCTCTGACATGGCTCTACTTCACTTATTCCTGCTGCAGCATCACTATCATGATCAAAGAGATGCTGCTCAACCAACCGTCTCCCAAAACACAAACACAAAGATAAAAAGTGGGAAATCAATATCGGACATTAATATCAGCCCAGTTTTACATATCGGACCGATACGATACTCTAAAAAATGACCAATATCAGCCGATACCCGATGCATCACTCCTCCATGCATATGAAATGGTACCAACTGTCCACCAAACTTAACCAAAACAAACACAACACAAACAAATAAATGTGTTTGTCCTCACAGTAAGACAATCTCTCAAAAATATTCATGTAAACAACAAACTAATAAAACTGCTGTTTTTATACAAGTCAGATGTTTTTTTTAACTCAGTGAACCAAACTTGCATTAAAATATTTTCACAAGTACATTTTTGTATAAAAGCAATTGGACTTTGAGTGAAAAAATGTCGAAAATATAAAAAAGACAAAGTGAAAAACTGCAGAAGCAATAAAGTTTGAATTATTAAAAAAATATTGTTGCAACATTTAAAAGTCATCCTAAGGAAATAAAAAAAATCTGTTTTTGTTTGGATCATTTTGTGTTGAGTTTTTCTCTTTCTTCTTCATATCCTTAAAGCAAAGTCTGTGAGTTAGAGCACCACCTGGTGGATATTAGAGGACCTGCAGAGCCACCTGGTGGACGATAGAGGAACTGCAGAGCCACCTGGTGGATGGTAGAGGAACTGCAGAGCCACCTGGTGGATATTAGAGGACCTGCAGATCCACCTGGTGGACGATAGAGGAACTGCAGAGCCACCTGGTGGATGGTAGAGGAACTGCAGATCCACCTGGTGGACGATAGAGGAACTGCCGATCCACCTGGTGGATCCACCTGGTGGACGATAGAGGAACTGCCGATCCACATGGTGGACGATAGAGGAACTGCAGAGTCACATGGTGGACAATAGAGGAACTGCAGATCCACCTGGTGGACGATAGAGGAACTGCAGAGTCACATGGTGGACAATAGAGGCACTGCAGATCCACCTGGTGGACGATAGAGGAACTGCAGATTCACCTGGTGGACGATAGAGGAACTGCAGATCCACCTGGTGGACGATAGAGAAACTGCAGATCCACCTGGTGGACGATAGAGGAACTGCAGATCCACCTGGTGGACGATAGAGGAACTGCAGAGTCACATGGTGGACGATAGAGGAACTGCAGATCCACCTGGTGGATGTTAGAGGAACTGCAGATCCACCTGGTGGACGGTAGAGGAAATGCAGATCCAACTGGTGGATGTTAGAGGAACTGCAGATCCACCTGGTGGACGATAGAGGAACTGCAGAGCCACCTGGTGGATATTAGGAACTGCAGAGCCACATGGTGGATGTTAGAGGAACTGCAGATCCACCTGGTGGACGGTAGAGGAACTGCTGATCCACCTGGTGGACGATAGAGGAACTGCAGAGCCACCTGGTGGACGTTAGAGGAACTACAGAGCCACCTGGTGGACGATAGAGGAACTGCAGAGCCACATGGTGGATGTTAGAGGACCTGCAGAGCCACATGGTGGATGTTAGAGGAACTGCAGAGCCACATGGTGGATGTTAGAGGAACTGCAGAGCCACATGGTGGACGATAGAGGAACTGCAGAGCCACATGGTGGACGATAGAGGAACTGCAGAGTCACCTGGTGGATGTTAGCGGAACTGCAGATTTCACAGATTTGTGTCAAAATAAAATTTTAGTTTTTGGGTCAAAAAATAAAGAAACATTTCAAGGAAGCTGCCTTTAATGTTTATCTCAGTCTTTTTAGATGCTGTTTTCTGTCCAACATCTGAGGACATGTTCTCAGTTTGATGTCTCATCAATGGAACTGGATCAGTTGGATAAAGTATAAAATCACGAAGAACAAAGAATCAACTTCACCCCGGGATTCTTCATTCTTCGTGGGCTCTTCTCTCCTCTCAGATCTTCTTGTAGCTAAACTAAAAAAATCTAATGAATCAGATAAAAACATTTTGTTGTGTTTGTGCTGGACTGTTCGTGATCTTTGTGCAGAATCAGCAGAGGATTCTGAAGGTTCATCAGAAGTCTACATTTGTATAAAATATTTGACGTATTTGAGTATAGTTTCACAGGAAGTGTTAGCTTAGCATGTGGATATAGTAAGAAGAATATTTCTGGTTCATTAGGCAGYTTGGTTCTTTATGGTTCTTCATGTTCCTTCCAGAACATCAGAACGCTCCACCTCCTGGATGTTCTCCTGCGTACTGTCTCTTCAGGCCTTCAAACCATTCATTTCACTTTCCCGTGTTTTCTCTGGTGCCACCAGACCGTACTGTCCTTTAGGATCATGAGTTCTGGCTCTCCTWCGAAGGACGATGATGGTCAGGAAGAAGCAGAGCAGCCCACCACAGACGAAGACCACCATCACACCCAGAAACCTGCAAACACAGAGTCATGTCCCCATTCAGGTTGAATGACTTCAAGAACTCTGCCAAGTTCAGAAACAGAAGTGAAACCGCAACTTCCTGTGAGTAAAGGTCAAACAGGAAGCTGCGGTTTTTATTGTCGCAGTGAAAGAACAAACTCATCTTCCTCCTGAGGAAGAGCAGAAGAAGAGAAAACCCTCTGATGAAAGGTTTGACCTGCGTGACTCTGCTTTGAACCTAAATCTGCCTGGTGTCAGATTGGGTCTGAATCATTTAGGAATCAATAATAAAGGCAAATAATAATAATAAGCATCAACAAAAATGTTAATAATAATAATAATAATAATAATAA